CCCTCTTTGCGAGGAAACTTCCCCAAAACTATTCCCTAGTGACTACAACCCTTGCCGATGACTGTCAATATTTCTGCTGTAGGTGTATATGCATTGCCCCAACACGGATGACAAGAAGAGAATATACCTCACAAAGGAGGGAGAGTTTAAAGGTGTCGCAGAATGGATCCTGGAAACAGATGGAACAGCACTGATGAAAGTGCTCGGTCAGCGGGGTGTTGATCCGATCCGGACAACCAGTAACGACATTGTCGACGTCTTTGCTGTATGTTATAGTTTCTGTATATTGTGTATTGTCACGTGTCTAGCCACGTTTTTCGTGGAAGAAAGTGATATGCTTATTTTCTATTTGCATGGGCTTGAATTTGCAAATTTGCGTAGATCTCCATGCAGCAAAACAATGGCATAATATCTCCATTTGTCAATGAAATATCAGCATTTTAAAGGGAGTTTGAGAAAATATAAGAAACTCCAAAAATGAAGAGAAGTATATAATGACATTGCATATGAGGTGAGGGCAATTTATCAATTTTTACTATACATCATTTTAAACATGCCTGATATAAACTGTCTGATAAATTTGCTTATAATATATGAATTTACATTCAATTCCTCTTGTGAATCTACACCTTAAAGTTCTTTCACGTGAAATACGAGTTATTACTGTAACAGTGCAATCACATTACAGTATGGCTATAAGATTCTGTTAAAGTAACTCATTGTGAAACAAATTCCTGTGTATGATAGAACATGAATTATTATCAAAAAAACTTTCAGACTCTTGGCATTGAGGCAGGGAGAAAGTCAATTGAGAGAGAGATGAACCATGTCATTTCCTTTGACGGATCGTATGTCAACTACCGTCACTTGGCCTTGTTGTGCGATGTGATGACTGCCAAAGGTCACTTGATGGCTATCACCAGTCACGGCATCCTTCCATCGCAATGCATTGAGACGGTTTGTAAAGTCATCAATCTTTATTGTGATGTCATCAATCTCTATTGTGATGTCATCAATCTCTATTGTGATGTCATCAATTTCACTGTCATCGACACTTAATTTGCTATTCAAAGAACTGTTTGTAAATAACAAATTAAAGCATAATTACTCTAGAAAAATGTGAATATTAGTAATAAACATTATGGTCCTATAATGCACATTTCTATTGCCGGGCTTTATTAAGTTTGTCATCAATAGCAATGTTTGTTATAGGACCATAACAACATTTGTTGAAACATTCATCGCTTAAAGGGGCATCACGCTGAAGTAACTTTTTTTTT